ATAATTAAAAGTTTGTCATTTGCGGGTCACTTTTTTTTCTACGTCAGCAAATGCGGACCATGAGGCAGGCACACGATGGCCTGCTATGAAACAAACTTACTAATAACTTAGAAATATACCAGGAAAAATGTACATGGCAATGAATAATTCATAAGAACCTTGGTCCCAACAAATCATACAAGACACTCAAAGTGATTTGTAGATTATAATTTGTACTTAATTGTTACTTACTAAGAACTACATTTACTGGAATCCGGCTGGACATCCCATTAGCAGCAGTAACAGTTGGAACAACCAAATATCTCAAAACCCCATGTGACTGCCACTGGACATCCCGTATCCTCAGAATCAATACAGAAGATGCCATTTCATGAGTCTGGCTGAGACATTGCATCTCTGATTTCAAACGGCAGGGCTGTACGCAAGACGAATTGGAGGGGGAGTGGCAGGATGTGACTAAACGATGGCATTACAGGGGGCTCGGAAACTGTGGTCACATGTTCTTGGGACCTAATCCGTCCACATTTTTTTGACGCCACCACATTTGGAGTAAATCCGGAAAAAGGCCTCCGAGTCCACTGGAAAATGGCAACAGGAAATAAACCCACACCACACTTATGGCCGAACGACGTGGTACCATTTTCAACATTTGTAATTGATCGTGTCAAAATATCCTTCACGGACAGCAGTCGTGTGTTTGCGATGTGTTTGCGAATAAACATTGAGGTTACTTGAATGGCATAAAAATGCCTTGCTGTAATATTTATTGTTGTGTAGGTTAGTATGTAATAAACAATTGATTGATTACAATCATTTGTCATCCTTGCCATGTAAACTTAAAATGATTCATGAGTGCATCGATTATATTCTCGTTTCTGTAAATTCGGTCTTTAGAGATTTGCTCCCTCTCGTCATCTGATTACTTGTCATAATTCGCGTTTGCAATTTGGTTCCAGAGTGCATACTTTGTTTAACCTGGTAGGAATATGAGCGCCTGTCTGCACGAGTGTAAGAATCGTTTTAATTAAGATAATCGGTGCATCATCACTCGCCCATTGTGCATACAGTACAGGTATCATCCCTCGATGTACGAACGTTCGGTTTCCGAAATTTCGCGTGAATGCAATTAACAAATCATGGGGACTTTCCGATTGATGGAATTGAATTTCCGCGTTCACGAAATTTCACTACGGCACGCACCACGAAATCAAAGAAGAATCACCCGGTCGGCTGCGTCATCCATCCACGACAATGAGTGAGCAACAGGAACTTCTCCACGTCACCTTTCCACTCATTCCAACGTGCACATTTTTTGGTGGCTTCCCTGAAAATGTTAATTATTTTCGTATTAAATTAATAGTCATTTAATCGTATTCTTGGGTCTTTCGGTAAAGTCACGCAGATAGGTCCAAAGAAAATAACAAAAAAAACTACGACGTTTCGATCGCAACACAAGCGGTCGTCTTCAGGAAAAGGGTGGTTCGCTGCCAAGGCAAACTGTTTATAAAGGGTTTGAAATGGGCGTAGCCCAAATGTCAGGAGCCATTTTCTTTGAACCTATCTACGTGACTTTACCGAAAGACCCAATAATATGAATTCCTGCAGTCACGAAAGCTTTTAGTGAAGAGTTATTTAATCGTTTTAATATTCACGTTCTTATTGTTTTTGTACTGCGAAAAGTAATATGGGTGTATATTTTTAGGTTAGGAGTAGAGTTGGCATGACTATCCGAAACACATCCCGAATGTTTAGTCTTAAATGAACAGAAAAGGCCATTTCAATTTACGAAATTGCGTTTTACGTAAATCGAGAGATACCTGTACTCAACATTGCATGTCGGATTCACGGAGTGTGAAACGTACAGCCCATTATTGGGTTAGATTCTACATGCTCCACATGTACTACAGTTACAGCCCCATTATCCAATCCACTGCGAGATGAGGGCCTACGTTGTTGGGTTATTTCACGATAAATCACCACGCTGGTTAAGGTGGGGAGCGTACACATGGCACCATAGCAGTGCAATGCAACTATAGATTTTTGCTGCATCGCCTTCTGCTACTCAAAACGTAGCCCCGCAGCTCCAAGGGAAAAACAATAATGGTTAATCCTTCCTTTAAGCAAATCGTGAGACCGAATCGTGACATTGAATCGTGACATTGTGTTAGAGCTGAGTCATTACGCGCTTGTTTTAATGGGCTACGTCTTTTAAACTGTTTTGGACCAACACCATGCTTTCAATGTTAGCATGCATTGGACATGCTCGCGTAGATGATTTGTCCAAAAACACAAATAAAGAAATTAGTTTTCAATTTATATTTAAAAGTGCGTAGCTTCGTAATATCGGAAGGCAGAGCGTTCCAGACGGCCGCAGAAGCGCATGTGAAAGCGCGCAATGTGGTCACCCTCTTTGTTTGATGGCTAGAGGGCTTGAGCACGTGTTCTCATGGCTGCTTTTATAAACATTACAACATATTCTCCAGGGATTCCCAGCTGCCTACCTCTCCCCTCTCATCTCACTGCACTCCCCTCCACGCCTACCCTGCGCCCCAGGCTTTCTATTGAAGCCCTCGGGCAACCTTCGCACAGTGGGAGGTCGCTCCTTCTCCTCTGCTGCGCCCTCTACGTCAGAAACTCCCGTTCCCCCGTCATCCTTACCCCTGTCGAGGTTCTTTTTATCCACTGGCTGTGACTGAAAGCCTATTTTGTCTCCACAAAATAAATGTCCACTGTTGTTTCTGTGCAGCCCCTTAAGATGCAGTCACATTTATAAGCTAGAATACATCCAAATTAAATTGTATAACCTGTCAGGCCGTATGTAGGGAGAGTATGGTGAACTTCTTTCGCACCGTACGTAGCCAACCATGCTATTCGGAGATGCGGACTGTGACGAGCAAACTTTGGAAAGATATGCAGGCACAATGTAACAACACTGGGCCAGTAAGAGCCCATGTTCAGCAACCTGGTCCTCGTGCTGCTGTTGTTGTTCAGACCCATCACATTGTGGCCTCACACACAGCAACAAGCACAGAGTCTCATTCTCCCACAACTCTTTATATTACGTCATTAGGCCCATTATGCACAATGCGTTTGCCACAGGGCATACGTGCGTAAGCATACGGTAATTGGCACTCCAAATTTAACAAGGCTAAATAATGAATGCAAAATGTTAACACATTGATGAACTGAGCAGCCAAATCTAAATTCATTAACTGCAGACCGAAATTGGCAATATTGCAGCTCTGGTCTGGTGACATTCCAGACAAATGAACAGAAGCCTAATTATTAAATGATTGTATGCACACATTTGTAAGTTATTTGTTATGTTTTCTTGACTCAGAAAGGAAACATGCTGCCATAACCGGGAAGGCGGTGCAAACGCGTGGTATAATTCCCATCGTTGGCATATGTTGCTATCACAAATTTACTAAAACGCAAATTTATTCAAATGTTCTTGCAATACACACCATTAAAAATAAACACGATACCGTATACTTTTTTGCCTCAAACATAACGGTCATAAAAATTATGACCGTTTCGTACCAAGTAAATTAACATTGGCGAGGTTTTCCCTTTCTTGAATCTCGGTGAAATGAGTAACGCTGGCCTCCAGAGAAAATCGAATTGTGTAGCGGTACCCACGCAAACCACGAGCAATGAGCAAGCCTTGCACATTTGCAAAACAACATGCAACTTCAACAGCGTGCTGACGTGCTGAAAAGGAGTGTGTCAAAGTTTCAAGCACACAATCATCCAATTGTTCCCTCGCTCGTTCCATTTAAAGGCGTTGCAAATGATAAGGGGGCGACTTTCAGCGCGATGAGATTCCTCTTGTGATTGATCAGAAAACAATAACCACTGCCACGACTAACTGGGCGCCACTGTGCGAGATGTTAACTACCTCGCCTGGTATGCAGGAGGTCGTGGATTCGAGTCTGTAAATTTGGAGTTTGAATGTTCTCGCATGGATTTTTCTGTGGGTCTTCCGGTCCTTTCCCTCCACAATTAGAAACGTGCGTTTAGAGTATTTGGCCGCGATACATTTCCACATGATAAGTCACTTCGTTGAGCTATCATTTGTGACCAGGTCGCTGCTGATACAGAGTTATATAGCTTAAATAGCTGAATGGGCCTTAACCTGATCAAATAAAAATAGCTTAGTTTTAGTTTACTTTAGACTGCCTCCATATATAATGTAAATAAAATCCAACTCTTTCTTTGCAGCAACTCAATATCGGGTTAACATTTAGGGACCACCCTATGGCCTCCTCTTTGACTGCCACTCCGTTGGGAGTCACAACGATTGGCCAACAATCCCTTCTCCCGACGGGTCCTATCCGAAGCCCCCACTTACTCCTCTCATCGTTCAAAGATGAAGCATCGCTTAATGTCCACTCTCGTCGTTTAAAATGCTAAATACCAGCAAAAGCATTCTTGTAAAGGAGATGTTAACTTTTGGAAGGAGGCGACCTCCGTGCGCCAGCTATTTGCCTGGGAGAGACAGTTGTTGGCTCGGACACAACCACCACTGAAAACGGTGGCAGCTGCTGCGGGCGGGTGTTTTTCGAAAGCCTCTGAACGATGATGACACCCACACGACCGCAAGGGTGGCCACTGGCTGCGCGGCACAACTCCACGGTGTCCGAACGTGCAGTGTGCGTGAGGCCGTGTTCAAATCCCGCATCTGTTCACGTTCGCCTTTTCCCATTTTAATTGTTCATCTCCTCGTTGTGAAAATTCACCAATAATGGCACGAATATGAAAAGCTAAGGGGGTACATCTTTAAAACAAAGTTTTTAATCAAATGGAAAGCGACTATAGTTTAACAATCAGAATTACGTGTTACCATCCTCAATCCGTGGTGGTGTAGTTGCGCACACGGATGTCTTTAAAGCAGCTCCTCTTGGTTCAAAACCCAGTTATAAGCTTTTACCAAGTTACATTTATGCATGCCATAATGACGTTGCCTCAACGTGATGAAGTCAAACACCACATGCTTATCACTTGCGAAAATACATTTATTCATTCAGTGATTACATAATTACTCACACTCTGAAACCTCCACTGACTGTGTTATTCACCGTTCAAGTCACTCTGGTATACCCACGTGGAGGCCCGTTGTGTCGCATCTCCTCAGTGGCCAACGGCATGAGGCTGCAACTCATGAGGTTCTGGGTTCAGATCCAACATTTCCGTTTCGTATTTCTTTTGGTAGTTTGAATGACGAATATAACGAAATTAGAAACGCTGACGATTTTTTTATTTCAAAATAATTTACTTAAAAACAATATATACATGAAATAACATTGTTTCAAACAACAACAATAAGATCACCGTGCATGCCTAGAACGTTATGGCTAGGTGGATAAACTTTTGCTACTGAAGCTGATGACCTGGGTTCAAATCCCACCTTTATTTTATCAGCTAGAGAAAGTTCACCCGGTTCAACTTATTTTTTTTATTACATTTTGAAAAGTACACCTAAAGCAACATTTTAATCATCGATGATTTAATAATCGGAACATTACAGGCCACTACAAAGCCACTGTGGTGTAATGGACAACTATGCCGTTTTTGAAGTTGGTGACCCGGGTTCGAATCCCAGATTGGATTTTTTTGCTAATTAACATGACACGCAGTGACGTCATCGCGTACGTTTCCACAGTGGCTGGGGCGCAGCGCAATCACTACACGTCCTCGAGCACGATTCATCTGTGCGAAGACACGGTGGCCTCGCTGCAACAAGAGGCAAGCCGCGAGCCTTCTCATGAGCCTCGAGGTGCAAGGTTCAAATCCTGCAGACGGCAAGTGGCTAATATACCAGAGAGATGGTTTGAACTCCCTCTGGAACCCCCTCTGAATAACAACCGGCAAGTGGGCATACGACGAACTTGGAGCTGGAACCCATCGACGAAACGTGACAGGATTTGACGGACGTGGTAAAAGGCTGGCAGACAGAGACCTGGAACTAGGACATGAGAGCCCCCTGATGGGCGCAGGTGGAGAGGCGACCACAGGAATGAGACAACCTAGAACAGAACAGAGGGGAAATGACCAGGTGAAATTTTTTTTCTACCACTGAACACTTTTGGCCACTAGGGGCGCTGTTTCACCACTAGGGGGCGCCATTTCTCCATAGGGGGCGCTGTTTCATTACATTTCCCATTGAAATTGTGAATTTCCTGCAGTTACACAAATTAAACTTTTTTTTTTAGCAAATTAAGCTGTAAGCTACCCGTTTTATGCAAAATCACGACCAAATATGCCTCTGAGACAAAAAAATCAACATAAACACGCTAAGACGGTGATTTCAAGCCACGATTTGCACTGCTTTCCTGTAAATCGGCATGAAAACTGCTGTTTTCCCACTGATAACGTAGATTTAAAGCAAAGTAACATTTATCTTAAACATACAATACCGTGAAATATCCAATCAACTAATTGTAGGTGTTTATATCTTTAAGGTTATAAACGAACTGAGCGGTGTAGTGAACAATGGCTCACTAATAACCCCCACGACCAGCACAGACCAGTAGACACTCATCCAGCTGTGGATTTATTTAAAAAGGGTCGCCTACTTAAAACAACCAGTAAAAAGCGGTTCAAGCGAAGTGGAACAATACCACACATACTGAATCCACACTCTACTTTGTATTACTCTAAAAAAATGCAGATTAAAAAGTTATTGCTAACATTTTCACGGAAAAATAAGACTAAAAACCACGGTTCATTAACAAAGATGTCTGAAATGCAAGACGTCGCGTAAAATATCAAATCCCATTGCAAAATCAGAGTGAGAAAACCACTAGAATAAGCATCAAGAAACCATTCTCTACGCTCTCCCATCTCTCTCCCCTGCCAATGCTCTCCCCAAATCTCTCCCTTCACACCCCCTACCCCTAGTAACGCTCTCCCATCTCCCTTACCTCGCTCCCCTCGCCATGCTCTCTATCTCACCTCTCATCTTTCCCCTCGCAATCCTCTCCCCATCTCCCTCTCCCCATCTCCCTCCCCTCTCCCCATCTCCCTCCCCTCTCCCCATCTCCCTCCCCTCTCCCCATCTCCCTCCCCTCTCCTCATCTCCCTCCCCTCTCCTCCATCTCCCTCCCCTCTCCCCATCTCCCTCCCCTCTCCCCCCATCTCCCTCCCCTCTCCCCATCTCCCTCCCCTCTCCTCATCTCCCTCCCCTCTCCCCCATCTCCCTCCCCTCTCCCCATCTCCCTCCCCTCTCCCCATCTCCCTCTCCTCATCTCCCTTTCCTCTCCTCATCTCCCTCCCCTCTCCCCCATCTCCCTCCCCTCTCCCCATCTCCCTCCCCTCTCCCCATCTCCCTCCCCTCTCCTCATCTCCCTCCCCTCTCCCCCATCTCCCTCCCCTCTCCCCCATCTCCCTCCCCTCTCCCCATCTCCCTCCCCTCTCCTCATCTCCCTCCCCTCTCCCCCATCTCCCTCCCCTCTCCCCCATCTCCCTCCCCTCTCCCCATCTCCCTCCCCTCTCCTCCTCTCCCTCCCCTCTCCCCCATCTCCCTCCCCTCTCCCCCATCTCCCTCCCCTCTCCCCATCTCCCTCCCCTCTCCTCATCTCCCTTTCCTCTCCCCCATCTCCCTCCCCTCTCCCCATCTCCCTCCCCTCTCCCCCATCTCCCTCCCCTCTCCCCCATCTCCCTCCCCTCTCCATTCTCTCCCATCTCGCTCGATCCTCTCACCTCGCTCCACTCCCGCTCCTCTGCACCCTCTGCTCCTCCTCCTCCTGTGCAAATAACAGAGGCACCCCTTCACGATGGTCTCTTGATAACCCTGCCGCCGTCCCCTGTGCTTGTTGTTAACCCACCCAACCTTGCTCCGCCGAGGATGTCGCTGCGAGTGTCGCCCTCTGGCGGCACGGCAGACGGCGGCAGGCTGCTGAGCCGAGATTTGCCGTCGGATGGAATCCCTCGGGGGGGCTTGCATCTGGTTGGTGGCACACGGAGGATCAGAATATTTATTAATCCTAGGGGAATTCGATGAGCTACAGAGCTATTTTTTCACAGATGTCCAGTAGGCGCGGGTCAGCAAGTTACAACAACAAGCAATACGAAAACACGATATGAGTGTAAAGTATTGGAAAAGTACGCAAATCACTAATATATGTTTATTTTACCAGCTAAAGCACGCTAATATATGTTTATTTTACCAGCTAAAGCACGCTGATCTATTATGAGATGCTACCTTGGTGTAATGGTTGGCACACTATATCAAAGGTTGCTGATTCAAGTATTTTTTTAAAAAGTGTATTCATTAAAATGTTTGTTTTTTTAGCAAGTTAGATCCACTGAGTTATATAGCTGTTTTTCATGAAGCGATAGCTGAACGAAGTGGGTGGCTTATCATGTGGACATTTTTATCAGCCAAATAATCGAAACGCATTGTTCAACCGCCCGTGTCTCCCAGCCTTGAGAGTGGAACTAACCCCTTGGATGTGCTCACCAGAGTCGCCGCTCTCTCGCCTTGCTTTAAACAAAGAGACTCATTCGCTACAGACTCCGATTCGGGCACTGGCAGATCCAAACAGAATCCAAGAAGATGCAGGGGCTGTGATATGAGATTACTCGCTAACGTTATTATTGTTGTTTTAAAATATATGTTTACGGTTATAATATTGCCCCTGAACGAAATCACACAATCCGATCAAGGGCCGTCCATAAATGACGTCACGCGATTTTGGACGATTTCCCCCTCGTCACACGGCGTCACAAAAAGCCAGACTCTCCCCTCAGATCTGCCCCCACCCCCCCCCCCCCGAAAAAAAATATATAAAACATACTTCAAATCGCTTTAAACTATTGTCATTGTAGTGCGTATTTAATGTGGCGCTGCACTCTGATGTTGCAGGAGAAAACATTTATTAAAAAAGTATATTTAATTAAGGAAAACGTGTTGTCTATTTTTTTTAAGTTGCCCATTTTGATGTGACGTCACATTTCTCACCCCCCCCCCCCGTCACACATTGTCACAAATGTTTGACCCCCCCACCTCCCAGGTGCGTGACGTCATTTATGGACGGCCACCTCAAATATAAAAAGCTAAGCAGGCTTTGAGTTTGAATAGTGCTTGAATGGATCACGCATAACATGCATTACAGGCTGCTTGGCTCTGATGGGTAGCAGCAAAATTAATTCTGCAACCATGATACTGCAGCACGTCTTGCTTCCTGCCATCACCAGCCAACACCGATCAGTGTGGTGAAGCATGGTCAAACAATGCCCATAACCAACACGGAGTGGTGATGGCCCTCGTCCACCAGTGAATTAACAAAAATGTCTGTACACGTACTGTATATGTTTAGGGGTAATTGTCTACATATTATCAATTATGCAAATCTGATTTTCGTCTGTTTTAACATTGCTGTCTGTACCTATGTGTGATTGTATGCCAACTGCAGTAGTCTTCTTTTCAGGCCTAGTCGGTCCTGTGCGTCTTCTACAGGAGAGGTGTAGGGAATTTAAAGGAGGCCTATATATCCGCATTATTGACTTGTTCAAGGCCTTTGATACAATCAATAGGCCAGGGCTCTGGGTTGTTCTTCGTGCTCACAATCGTTAAGGACCTTCATTATGGTGGGCAGGCCTGGGTAAAGTTACGTGGCCAGAAGTCAGAGCCATTCCCTGTTCACGTTGGGGTACAAAAGGGTTGTTCTCTGGCTCGGACATTATTTATCATCTTTGACCACGTAGTACGAGACGCTTTCCAAGGCTGTACCAGAGGAATTTATATCTGGTACAGATACAATGGGAGGCTGATCCATGCCTGGGTGCAGTCAAGGGATGGCACCCTATTGGTCACGCATGGTATGTATGCTGATGATCTGGCGATTGCTCCTCGCTCTGATGAGTTTGAGGCGCTGATGCTGAACTTGGAGTGTGCCACTAAGAGGTGGGGAATTATCATTAGCCCCACCAAAACTAAGCACCTGCCTGGGTATTTTGTGTTATCCAATACCCTTTCAACTCCATACGAGTGATGGGGCATTGTGGAGAGTGGAGAAGTCTACAAACCTAAATCGTGTGATTATGACTAATTTCAGTTTGGCAGCAGAGGTTTCACTCCAAATCAGCCGTGCGGCATTATCTTTTCGACAACTGCGCAATGCTGTGTGGAAGCTACCTGGTCTGCCACTCCACACGAAGCTCCGGGTCTTCTCTGCCACAGTCATGCCCTCCCTTCTCTATGCTTGCAAAACGTGGACCCCTCTAATGGAACATTCAGGCTGGCCTGCCTACGATCCATCCTGCGTTTAACCAGGCTGGATTGTGTGAGGAGCTCACAAATCCTTGAAAGATCTAGGACACATTCCTATCAGTGAGCTCCTCTAGCAGGCGAGGCTGCGTTGGCTGGGTCAAATCGCCCACATGCCCAACCACCGCATGCCCAAGCAGCTTCTGTTTTGTCCGAATAGAGGGGGATAAACGGGCACGACACGGGCTGGAGAAGAGATGGAGTGATGTGGTACAGGAGGATGTGGAGCTGAGTAGACTTGCCGAAGACTGATACCGGCGGTGTCAGGATCGCCGTCTACGGAGGAGGTTCATGAAGGACGCTACTGGGCAGTTGGACGCAGTCGCCCTCCAACAACAACGGAGGGGCAGAGAAGCGACTGTCAAAACGAGCAGACCGTCCGGCGGCTACAACGCAGCGAGTTGGCGTAGTCGAGAGCACAGATGGTGAATCTGCCAGTCATCTCAGTCAGTCAACCCGTGACACCTGGGTCCGTCCCGTTACCTCGTGTCAATCAGCGCGCCTTCGACACTCCACGTGGCCTCGGAGTGCACCTAGCCTGGCACAAGCGCCGTGGAGACGTCCCCGCCACTTAGTGGCGAATTGCGGGTGTTGTACGAGTTAAATATACGTACGTGAAGGTATGTGTTGAGGCCAGCCTGCTTTCCCAAGCACACTCCTTGTGTGTATTTGTATGAAAGTGATCCGTGTACTGCTGGTACACACACGCGTACATTTTGTCCGCCTTTAGTATGTGGTAATTTAAAAATACATTTCTCCAAACTCGTTACCATGATCTCAATGATGACACAACCTTGAACCTTCTACGAGTATATAGGCGTTTCACATGCGTAAACATATACACGGAAACGCCTCTATTAGCCGTTCACTGGGTCTGACGAGATTCATGTACCCTGAAGCTTAATTAGCTTCCATGGACTCAGAGAGTGCATTAATTGGGCGTTAAGCGGTTAACATCTGCCTGAATGAAGATTAACACCCGCACTGCTAGAGGCACATCTAGAAACGTTTCAAAGAGGGGGGCACCCCCACAATTATATTGCATAGAGGGCCCTACATTAACAATAATACATTCAATCAAATTTCTATTATAAACATATACATTAAATGCAATTGTTCGGGGTCTCCAGAAGGGGTCATCACCCAACCCCCTCTACCCCACCACCCCTTCCATCCCCCCCCCCCCCCCCCTTGTTGGACACGCCACTGTGCTCGAGTGACAGAGCTTGGTCTTGACCGACACACCGGAAAGTTACCACGTGTGCCCTCACTGCAGATCACATGCCCTTGTACACGTGTATGGCCATTCAAGTTGACCTTGGGATGCAACCGAGATGCCCTTTGATCCCGACGTGTTTTTGACCAAATAGTTCGAGAAGCCTTTCATGGCTGTACCAGTGGAATTTACATCTGGTGCAGATACAAAGGGAGACAAATCGATACCTGCGTACATACACGGAATGACTTCCTGCTAATAATTGCTATGTATTTATGGTCCATATTTTGGTGACTTGGTAACTGCTGCTCATTCTGAGGAGGTGGAGACTCCTGCTCAACGTGAGCTTGCCACGTGAGAAAGAGGACCTGACCATCACATCCACCAAAACAAAGCGACTGCACTGGTAATCTTTGTAATCACTCACTCCATCCCCTCAGCCCTCCACGAGTTATGGAATGGTTGTGGAGGACTTTACGTACCTGAGCAGTGTTCAACATTGCCAGTTCCGGCGTGGCACTAGAGGTCTCGCTCAGAATCAGATCAGCAGCAGGATCTCTTTATCCGTTGCATAACACTGGAAGCTGCCTGGCCGGTCGCTTCACACGAAACCTCTTCTTCATGCCTGCAAAATGAGAAGCCCGAACCAAAATCACTTGTGCCAACTTGAAGCAGTCAGACTGCTCTGCCTATGATCCATCCTAGGTTTAAGCAGACTGGATTTCTTTTTTTGTAGAGCTCACAGATACTTGAAAGATCTGGACGTAGGCCCAACGGTGGACTCCTACAGCAGGAGATAATGCATTGGCTCGGTCACGCAGCACGAATGCCAGCCACCAGATGCCCGAGCAGCTTCTGTTTGGCTGGTTAAGTCGACTGAATGGGCACAGCACAGGCTAGATAAGAGATGGGTGGATCTAGTACAGGACGACTTGGAGCTGAATGGACTCACAGATGATGGGTATCCGCGGTGTTCAGATCAGCCTCTGTGGAGGGGGCTCATGAAATACGCTACTGGGCAGTTGGAGGCAATCACCCTCCGAGAACATGGAGGTGGTGACGATATGCACACAACAACGAGTAAAGCACAGGGCAGTTGAAACACGTCCAGTTATGCGCAGTGGGGTCGCACAGGCTGTGCACCTGCCAGTCATAATAGTCACAAAACCCGGATTCTTCAACTTGTCTAATGATCTTCAGCGAGGTGAGCTTTTGACACTTCACGTGGCCGACGCTCCTCTGAGAATGTTTTATATAAAAAAAACGGGAACACGTGCTGGGGCTGAGAGGTAAGAGATCAAAGGGCGCAGTAATGGCATAAATCTGAAATTGAATGAAAGCAGTCTTCCGGATTCTCTGTCTCGTGCATTCGGCACGGCCTTGAGTGGTATTATGTTATCAAAGCATCAGTTAAGCCAGGCAAAATCCTTATAATTAGTAAGCCACACCTAAAATAGTAACCTCACCAGCTCTCATGGACTGTACGCTCAGAAGACACACATTTTATACTAGCTGTACTACCCGGCTTCGCCCGGGACTTGGGTCCTCCACGCCCGGCCGCCTTTGTCTCCCCAGTGGCGATGTTCACACCACAGCAGTTACTCGTTTGAGGCTGAGTCGACCTAGGGGAGGCCCAGGACCGGTAGAAATAATCGTCACCAGTGGTGGCCGCGAGCGGGAATCGAACTCGGGTCGCCGGGTTCGTAGCGCAGCGCGATAACCACTACACTACAATGCGTTACGCTTCCACATGCATTATTGAGCTCCCCCCCCCCAAAAAAAAGTATTTTTATAATGTTTGGATGGTGTACAGTCTGGAAAGTACCCACATGGCAAATTTCAAGTTTGTTGCATGTCGGGAAGTACGCTAAACATTTTGAACACACACACATTCACAACTTTGCCTTTTATATATATGGAGATGGAGATATTTTATGTATATAAAACGTTGTAATATTCTAGCTAGACAAGCTATAATAAGTCAAATATGTATAACAGGTTAAAACCTATCTAAGCTCATAAAATTGCAGTTCTATGTACATAATTTTCTCTCAAGCCATAATTATACCATTTTTGGCTTGTCTGCTTATTCAAGGCAAAAATAATATGTTGTACTGATAGTTTGGATTTATTTTGGAGTAATCCACCCTGAGGCATGTTTAAACATTTAGAGTAGTTAAATCTTCCTCTGCACTCACGTGTTTTTCAAATACTACGGCATTGTAAAAGTGGCAATATTTCCAGTGAAACATCCAAAACTCGTAATTTTTAAATTAGTTCAGCACATTTGTAAAAAAAAAGCTTTTGGGGCCCATTCAAATACTGTCGAGAAAAACACGTGATGTTGACCGGTAAACATTTTTTTTAAAGCACATTTTTATCGTTATATAGCATGTCGGATACAATAATGCAGGATGATCATCATATTTATCATGCACAATTTATACAGACACGAGGCCTCAATAAAAAAAAAACATTTACAGTTGTAATGGTCATAAGCCAGTGAATGTAATTTACAAAAGAAAAATGTAATGTTGAACACATAAAACCACTGATAGAAAACACTGTTAAACCAATTTATGCAAAAAGTATAAATGATATGCTTCACATGAAAACATAAAATAAATTGACGAATTCATATGTATATACAAAGCCATAAGTTCCTCACTATTCAAGATAAATGTTTGAATGCATTCATACACTCGTCGAATCAAATCGATTCTCACCTCCATGATATAAGCATCAAAGTGTTGTTTGTGAGCATCTTTTTGTCAATTCATATAAAAAGTACTGTTAGTGAGCACCAGGTGCTCATTTAAGGCTGAGTCGACCTATGAGAGGCCCATGACCGGTCGAGATATCACTCGTCACTGACGCTAGCTGTGGCTGGGAATAAAACTCAGATAGCAGGATTTGTAGTGCAGTGCGCTAACCACTATGCCGTACCGCTCTCCACAATTCACATTGCTTTTATGTATTGCCATTGAAGATATATTTTTGTTTGAATTATCAACTTTAAGTATGCTGTATATAATGGTTTTACATGACCCCTGCAGCCACAAGAAGCACTACACTCATCCCAATAGGATATTTAGGGAAAATATTACTATATTGACTCGTATTCAATAGTTGCTTTTATAGTTAAAATATACATTTACATTTTTAACTCTCATAGAGGCCGAAGTGCGTCTGTGCTTACACGTGGCTTAATACCCATCTCTGTTGATGGTCCGTAGCCAGTGGTGGACATTCTCCATTCCTATGGCAGGAGCCAGTATACAGAGAGGACAACGGCTGCCAATATGTGTAATGTACTGTCCATCGTAACCTTATCATGATTAACAAAGTCTACTCTAGACCTTCCATTTGCGAAATGAAATACTCTGCCAAGATAAACAACCGAACATTTCCACCACTCCAGCCTAAATCAAGTTTCTTACACCCCGCCAGCCGACCCCTCCCCCACCGCCTCTGTCCACCCTGCAGTATAATTGCCTCGACCACCGTTGTTCTATCGGCGTGTGATGGGGTAAAACATGCACACTCACCCCTGTTCAGATTGAGAGTCTACCAGTGCTGTGTTTCGTCAGCTTTGTTGTATGATGCGGAGGCCTGGACATTGCTTCGAGATGATTTGGATCGGCTGCAGTCCTTCCGCATGCGATGCCAAAGACGACTTCTTAGTATCCGACGTTTGGACTTCTTCCGAAATGCCACCGTTGCAACCGCGACCGGTCTCCTAGCGATTGAGAGCTTAGTACGAGGATGAAGACGGCCGTCACTTTGTGTGAACACGTCGCCCGGCCGTCTTTTCGTGCAAACTCCGTTTTAAAAAAAAAAAATTGCGCGCTTCAGTTTGGATGTCGCCGTTCGAAGCGGACTGCGACCCTCGAAGGAACGGTGTCACCCACGTGACCCGTGGATCATACAAATCACTCGAGACACGCCGGTGTATGGCAGCATGAGCAGTTGATGCCAATGCTGTCGCAAAAGTTCACGCTTTTTACACAACGACATTTCGCTATATGCGATGAATAGAATTCTAAGATGTCTGCGCAGTGTGGAAGAGTAGGCCAAATACCCTCCAGAGAAGCCTCTAGTGGAGATCCTGATACCAGTGGTGGCATGAGCGCGCAATTGCAGTGCTGCACCTTTGCCGGTACAGTTAGTGGCATGAGCAGCCTAAATCAAAGTGTGTCAAGTGATACAAATCAAAGGCCGCTCATATCTTTCAAGATGTTCCAATGTTCCGTTTAAACCCTCTCGCACGATAAAGATTATGGATAGTTGTAGAGAAACACACTGCAGTAGTTCAGTAAAAAAACAATTAAAGTTATGAGTGGACGATTTATGCATTTCAGCTGACAAAAAAAATCGCCTTAAAATTGCTGAGGCAGTATTGATGAGATTTACCACATCTGTTTGCTTTTTTTAAAACGGCTATGCACGTGGTAAAGGTCAGTGAGTTATTGACAATTTCCGAAGTCAAGATGCCATTATATGCCCAATTGACGCAGGAATTTCTAATATCCTTGCAAACTGAAACGGAAAAATGGCTTTAACGTGGCGTGCCTTTGTTTGAAAAGCTGAATTTCATTGTTTGCATTTCAAATTATATTTGTTTCAGCGTGGCTATTGCTATATAAACAACATTTGGAGAGTTGGTTTTAAAAGCAATGTATTGTAACTCAAATTTTAGTGCTTTCAAAGTAATATGATTACTCATGAAATCTTATTAATCCCCTCTCGCCTCTGTCCACCCAGCAGTAAAAATGGGTTAACCGCAGTTAGTCGATCGGCAAGCCGCCGCGTGTGGTGGGGTAAAGTGTGGTTACTTCAACTCCTCTCTCAGCATGGAAGAATAGGCCAAAACTCTCGAGGGGGCAGTATAGATGGTGATGCTGTACTATATGACAGCTCCTCTAGGGCCGACACATGGCAAGGCATGACAGAATGGACCCACCGTGGTTTGTTTATTTGGCAGGTCATGTGTGGTGGGGTCAAATGTGGGAACTCCCACACCTTCCAAGACATCTGGCCAGCATGAAAAAAAAAAATGGTCGTTATATTTGTAGAGCGTTCGGCTGTCCAGAGGGGCTGTCGAAAGCTTTAATGTACGTATGTTGAACGTCTTTCACACCGCGCATAGCCAATCGTGATAATCGGAGGTGCAGGGGAAGGGCAACAATCTAAACACAAAAAGCAGTTCTAAAGAAATTAGTTTTTAATCTAGATTCTATAAAAGTGTGTAACTCCAGTGGCTTCCTAATATTGGAAGGAAGATCGTTCCAGACAGCCGCAGAAGTGCATCTGAAAGCCCGCGATGCGATGACCCTCTTTGTTCGACGGCAAGAGGGCTTCGCATGATAGATTCCACCCAGCTGAGTACCCTTGCTTGCTTCAGCACGTGTTGCCATGGCTGCTTTTGACTTTTATAAACATAAAATGAGCTTTAAATTTATCTTCCACTGCACAACTTCTCAACGTCCCTTTATAAGTAACCGGAAGGTAAAGTCGCAGCCCTGCAATTGCTTGCTCGCAACACGGCTGGCAGAAAAGCCTCCGCAAAAGGGAGCAGTTGACAGGCCCTCTGCGGCTTTATTGCCCTATTCTCCACGCTGGCGT